TCTCTGATAGGTACTTTCTCCCCATTCCATATAAAAAACTAAGCAGTGCTGGCTCAAGATGTTTTGCAGCCTGGGACAAAGGACAAGATGATGTCCTTCTTCCTGAATGGATTAGAAGCTGAATTTCCCTTCGACAATTGTGATGGGACAGAGTGTTCCACTTCCGATCCCTCATGTGGCAACCTGACACTAGCAATGTGTGGGGAACCTGGTTCAGGAGGGGGAAACTCAGATTTCCTTGGCTTGGCTCCCTGGACTCTGGTTCTCTTTCTCTCTGCCCCAAGTCTGCCTCGCACCAAGCACTCATGCGGGCATCTGGCAGGAAGAGAGTCCAAGCGAGTTCTGCTTCCCCATGTGTGGCTTGTGGGCTTTGTGTCCTTTGCACAAAGAATTGTGAGCTTTGCATACTTTGTGTAATGAGGCCACTAGTGTTCCCAAGTGTTCACACACTTGATCTTGGCTCAACACATTTCCTGCCCAGGGCTGAGTGTGGGAAAGAAGTTTGGAGAGTGCAACAGAGCCCTGAGCTTTGCATCTTTACCTGGTGCCAGATGCCGCCACTGAGAGTAAATCCCAGTCCGCTCAGTCCTCGGCACTTCCTGGGAGAAGGACCCCAGCAGGGATTCTTGGATTAGACTTCTTTGCAACTCCTTTGTGTGTGCAGGGAGGCACGGCTCAGGTTACAGACTTTGCCCTGTGCATTGCATACAACCTGTTGTTTAAACCAGTGTTAGCATGAGCGATGACATGTGATGTGCCTTTGTGAGCTCCCCCTTTCACCCCCAAAGCATAGTAAAAAATTTATAAAAGGTCCAGGCAAAAAAGTACAGAACAAAGGTTAGTCTGAAAGCACAAAGGAGGAAGTAGTTTCAAGCAGCATTTCAGTGGCAAACAGCACAGAAGAAGTGCTGTTTGCCACTGCCCAGCATGAAGCTGGGCAGCCCAGCATGAAGCTGCTCACCTGGTCCTTTGAAGACCACCAGCCCCTCTGGGGCAAGTCTTCTGCTCCCTGTGTCGGGCCCTCCCTTGCTTTCTGGGGGACCCACACTCCAGCACCGGTACTGAAGAAAGGACAAGGCAACCTCCTTGCCCAGTGGAGCATCTCTCTTTGAATCCCCCACCCTGCCTGGATAAAGGCTCCTCAAATGGATTATGCAATTTAGTCTGGCTGCCTTGCTCATCTTATGCCCAGAGAAGGGACCTCAACGATCCCTAATTTTTTGCTACCTGGGCAATTTGCTTGGCCTTGTGATGACATCACTCAGGTCATTTGAGCCACAATGCCAGCAACTTGCATGAACCGACCCGGATCACTTTGGTTTCTAGCAGATTGCAGTATGGAAATTCCTTCCTGAGTAAGATGGAGTTAGCAAGTCTCCCTGAGTGGACCACTCGAGGCTCCTCCAAGACAGCCACAACTCCCCAGCATCTGCTGCTCGAAGCAGCTGCCTCACCCAGCTTGAAGATAGGGCTGGCCTTGCATTTCTAATGCTGTTACTGTGGAAGAAAACAAACTGATGCAAATGCCAGCCCAGTTTTGACTTCATGATTAGGTGGTGATTACATTAGAGAGGGTTTAAATCTCATGCATGAAAATGCTGTTGGCCAGAGGAACATTTGTTGTTTCTGTCAGGAGCAAATGAGGGAAAGGTCTGCTTTCATAATGAGGCTGCTAAAAGCCTGACACTGCAAGAGCAGCTTTAAATGTAAGGTGGGATTCCTTATCAGGTCAGGAAGCCATGCTGCAAGTCTTGCTCCTCATTTCCTGTCCAGAAATTCTTCCTCTGGGGGCATACCTTAGACATGCCAATGTTTGCCTGTCCTGAAAATCCTTTCTTTTGTTTTGCTTGTCTTAATCACATTGAATCCTATTGCTTTACTCTTAAGTGCCTGTAGCAAACTGCCTATGTGATCCCCCAGCTGACATGTACAAACTATGTAAAGGATAAGTTACAAAAGTTTCTTGCACAGACCCTATCTTTGTAGTCCTGTTGGAAGCTACCTGCTTGCCACATGTATTTCCAGGATGTCCGAATACACTGTAACTGTTGTCTCTGGTTTTAATTGTCACTTCTTTGCATGTTTCTTGTTCTTTTGAAATTCTGCATACAATAAGAAACAAAAGGAAGTGCTGTTCTTTGAGCTATGGTTTTCAGATCACTTTGTCACTTTTGATTATTAATCTATGATTAATCTTGTATATTTAGCATGGTCTATCTCTTGCATTGCCAGCTTGCACTGGGCTTCTTCGGGAAAACTTCCTGCTTGATCTTATGGAATCATAGAACCATACAGTCGGAAGGTGCCTGCTGGGTTCAACCCCCTGCTCATTGTAAGACTCAACTCTCATCCAGATACTACCCAGGCCTGACCCTGCTTAGCTTCCAAGATTAGGCAGGATCAGGCACTTCAGGCTATACAGAAACTATGTTGTATCTTCGATGACAACAGCATCCAGCTGCACCTTTGAGCATAATATCCATGCACATTTAAGTTGTTAATAAGATTGCTTTTGTTTTAAAGGCTAGGCTGTTTACATGCTTACATCCATGTGGGTATGATTCAGTGAAGATTTGCATTGATGTGATTGCAGTGTAACAACCTCTTCACACACTTTTAGGTGTATGCCCAAGATTGTTTTTTTAAGTGTTTCAGGCTGCAATTCTAAATCCATTTCGAAGGGAATAAGTCACTCTGAACTTGATGGAACTTGGTTCTGAGTAAACATGCATAATGACCCCCTATTCTGCATATAGCAACAGCACCCCCTACAGTGAATGAGGTTGGACTTGTCTTCTGGAAGTCCAGAATAGAGATATCCTGACTCTTATTTCCCAGTATACACCCAGAAATTATTCCTCATTTGCAAAAAATCAGCAAGTGAAAACTGAGATAATGTCCTTTTATAATGTAATTCATATAATCATGTATTAAACTATCCTGTGACCCTCACACAATGTCTGGAGGCCATAGGATCATTCCCTCTGTGCACTGTCTGAATGTAGTATCATAGTTTATTATTCCCTTACAATGCAGAATTTGTAAGCAAGACTCATAACTCTAGTTTATGATCATGGCTTGTAAAGGAGCAATGAGCCAGGATTCTGGATCTGGATGTGTGTTAAAGATACAGTTTCTTGTTTGTTTAGTAGCTTGTGCTAACTGAAAGGTCTGCTTCAAATCTTAAAACCACTGCACCCCTCATGCCAGATGGGTGCCTTATTAGGGGAAAATAATAGATGTGAGTAACACCTGCTTTGGTCCTGGGGAAGAGCACTCAGATACACTCAGTTTGTGCACCAGAGTTGTAAAGGATGCTGTGCCTACCGATAACAGCCTCAGTCAGAAGAGCACCACCTGGAGTGTAGTCTTGGTCTTTTATGGTACACCCCTTACTGCTGATTTGATTGATCACAATTTTAACTCTTCACATACAGAAACATGGTAACTGAGGGTGTCATCCCCAGTAAACCCACGTCGAGAGATCTGAGTCCATTTCCCATATTACCTGTGAAGAGGTCTGCAGACTAGACTTCCCTGGTTCATGCATGGACCATGGCGGTAGGCCTAGAGGAGCCACCAAAAGAACAAAGCAGTCTTCTTCCAACCAGCCTAGAGAGTTCTGGGCAGGGTTGACCCAAGTCGTTTTCCTGCCTGAGGAGAACAAGAATGCATCCCTCCCCATTCCAGATAGAAACGCCAGCTGAACTGGCAGTTGAGTGATGGGACAGCATCCTCCACTGCATCTGAAGGCAGTGGCTTGCTTTAGGGGGCACAGGGCAGGCTGCATGGTCTACAGATCTCTCCTCCAACTCCTGACAGCTGCCTTCCAGCATCTGTGGATTGAGGCAACTGCATCATGGCAGGGCCAACTCAGGGTCTGAACCACTTTGATTACATGAGTGCTGTGGCTTATTCAAGTGAGTGGTTTCAAAGCCAAAACCCTGGCTCCCATGCAGTGCATTGCAACTGCAGACAGATTCTGCTTATGGTGAAGATAACATTTTAAAGCATGGTGAAATGGTATGGACCATTTATTGCGTTCTTGTGTTGCATTTGTTTTCAGGGCACTGAATACCAAGGCAGCTTCCATCATACTTCATATATTGACATCCATTTTGCCTTCAGATTCTGGAGTTGGTACCACCGGATACGAGCCATGACGTTCTGAGCATAATAACGCAAGCTTGACATAAAGCAGGGGCGAGCTCCTTTCATAAGATGTTTGACGTGGTTGTAAGGACTGCAGAGCTGAGTCCAAAAACATCACTTCATAAATTACCCAGCAATAAATGTGAAACACAAGCCATGGGACGCACAGGATTCCTTTCCTCTTATTAAGAAATCAGGTGCTACATTGTGAAATTGCTCAAACAGTTTATCACCATAAATAGCCTACATGTCATGATGACTCTTTGCCTTGGTTTACAAGATTCTGAAAGCCAACAGGTTTTGTTACAGTTTCATCACCTTTCAGGTATCTGTAAATAAAATGAGGAAAAGCTTTAAAAGCAACTCTGAAATTTCCAACTGCAAGCATGCATTTAGCTTTTCTATGAGGAATTGGTGGGAAACCTGTGGGCCTCCAAATCTTGTTGGATTCTATTTTCATGACCTGACAGGCTGGCTGGGGGTTCTGGGAATCGGACTCCAACAGCCTCTGATGGGCTATAGGTTTCCTACCCATTAGAAGGCATTAAATCACGTTACCAACACAAATCCATGCCCCTTGTTAAGCCCCTCGTATTTGCCATCACATTTCTGTTGGAAGGACATGACTTGACGTGCTTGTCTCTTTCAGAGGATTTGACTGGATCAAAAATATTTTCACCTAGTAAATAGGAGGGTGGTATTCTCCAAAACATTCAAGTTCAAAAGCACCTGTACATTTGTTTTCTCTTCCAGATTCTCGTGGCTTTAAGTGGATATCACTTGTAAATATTCCACATAGAAGGAAGAAAACAAATGTTTTAGTTCTGAATGTAGTTTAATTTTCTTTCAGGCAGCACTTTCAAACCAGAGAGACGTTTGAGAACGCTTACGCAGCATGCATGTTTGATCTTTTTCCTCTTTTTTTCTTTATTGTTACTATATATACATCGTGACTTTATAAGTCTTCACATCCAAATCATGATACATTGACTGATGTTGTTGTTGGTTGTCTTGGCCTCTGAAATAATTTCAAAGGGACTGAGGTCAGGATGCATTCATTATATCCAGCCATACATTCATTGTGTTCTCATGGGTTATATAAAGAAGGGCTTACTAAACCAAGATAGGGATGCTGAGGGTTTTGTGTGTGTGCATGCGTGCATGTGGGAAAGTGAGGCTGACCTCAAGGAAGTCCCTTTTATTATTTCAGGGTGAGATTGCCAGTCTTATTCCAGGCTTCTGCTGAATGAGGACAAATTCACAAGCTACTTACAGCTCTGAAGCCTAGTTCGCTGGTGGTTCTCATCTGACAGGAGATGGATGAAGGTATCGCTGTAGGAGAATTTGACACGGCTGCTCCATCTGTGATCTTCCCTTTCTTTCCCCCAAAGATATGCAGGTTTATCGTTGGGGCTTCCACTTTTCTTATCGCCTGCACTTAGTTCCATCAGTTCCAGTTCATGCTTGGCAGCTGTCTCTAAAACTCTCTGCTTATTGTAATACCTGACGAAGTTATTAATAATGGGGTGGATTGGCAGTGCGATGGCTATGACCCCACAGAGGAAACTGATGGCAGCATTGAGCTTCCCCAGTGTAGTTTTTGGGTAGATGTCCCCATAACCCACGGTGGTCATAGTTATGATGGCCCACCAAAAAGACTGGGGGATGCTCTTGAACAATGTTTCCGAGTGACTTTGCTCCACTGTATAACCAAGGGCAGAAAACACAAAGATCCCAACAGCCAAGTACATCAGGAGAAGCCCCAGTTCCTTAAAGCTTCGCTTAAGCGCGTAGGTCAAGGTCTGCAGACCCGAGGAGTGGCGAGCCAGTTTAAAAATCCTTGCGATTCTCATGATCCGCAGGGCTTGAATGGCTTGCTGCACGTTGGTTAATTCCATGAGCCTGGTGCCCAGGTGTGTCAGTATCAGGCTGACGTAGAAAGGAAATATAGCAAAAATGTCGATGATGTTCATGAAAGACAGGGCAAAGTGCAATTTGTTGGGAGAGGAAAGAAGCCTGAGGACATACTCAAGGGTGAACCAGATGATGCAGGCCGTCTCAATCTTATCCAGAGCTGGGTGCTCCACTGATTTTCCATCAGATTCCACCACTTGCAGTTCTGGGATGGTTCCCAAACACATCACTACCGACGAGATTAGGATGAGTAGAAAAGACATGACAGCTACGACTCTAGCCGGGTACGATGATTCTGGTTTTTCCAGGAATTTCCAGATGCATTTTTTGCACTTTTTCCAGCTGTTTTCAGAGGTGTCCATTCCCAAATCATCCAGAATCAACTGGACCCTACGGGCAATCTCTTCAAGTTCTTCCTTTTTTTCACTGAGATGAGTTTTGCAGCAGTCATCCAGGAATTTAAGATCCACTTTCCAAAATTCCATTTCATTTTTGAAACAAATAGGACAGATGCCTTTCTTCATGTGAACCTCCCCAAAGTAATAGATATCAATGATGCATTTAAAAGCATCCGGATCTCTGTCAAAGTAAAATTCTCTCTTTCCAGGATCATAGTCATCACAGAGTGAGAAAATAGTGTCATATCCCCCAGATAAACAGTTCACAAGCTCTGCCAGTCTCGTGTCTGGATACTGGTTTAGCTGGTCTCCATACAGCACCTGCCTTACTCCGCCAACATTAACGTTAATCTCCATTTCTTCATTTTCTGACCCATCATTGTCCAGTTCTTGAAAACTAATGTCATCTGCCATTTTCAATTAGACTGAAGCTTTGATTCCAACAGTCTTCTCCCTCCACAAATCTTTCCCAAAGTAGGCTTGCAAGAAATCAAAGTCAGCTGCGTTATTAGCAGATTTCAATTGCAATGATGTTGAACAGTGCTAGAAAAGCATACAAAAACAAACCTGCAGGCTGAGAAACCTTGTGAAGTATGCAACAAGCTGCAGTGAAGAGACAAGTCATCTGGCAGCCTGAAGCTAGAGCACAGTTGTTTAAAAAGCAGCTATTGCTCCAGCAGATTTCAACAAGGAAAAAAAAAAAGAGAAAGAGAGCTAGAGAGAGAAAGAGAGAGCGCGCGCGCGTGAGAGAGAGAGGAACACTTAACAAAACTCACCCAGCCCTTGAGACTGTTTCTGGTTTCCTTTTTTCGGGAACAGCATTGATTCACCATGAGAGAATCTTGTCCTTAAAATAAATCCCTTTTACCTGACTAACAAAGTGAACTAACAGTTCTGAGGGAAAGGTAAGTCCAGCTAGCAGCTGTGGCAGTGTCTTGACTCCAGTGAAGCTTGCAGAGGAAAATCCATCATGTTTTGGTACAGTGGTCTTCTGGAGTTTTTCACCTGCCCCTTCCTGCAGAGGCTAGTAGTGTGCCAAGGAGAAAGTTGTGCTTGTTTTCCCCTTGCTGCTTTTAAGCACAATAGGAATTCCAAGCTGACGTCAAGTGCTTTCCGAACTCTACCCTCTTCTGGTGAAAGGCAGCAAAAGCATAAGTTCCAGTGTACAGTACACCCTTTTTATTTTTAATCCGGAGGGGCTGGGTGGGGCAGAGCAGAGAAACTTGAAAAGGTACCATCTATAATGTTCCTAAGGACCAGAGTGTTGCTGGAGAAGGAGGAGGCTGGAGAAGAAGCGCTGATAATGGAGAAGGGAAAAGAGCAATTTGCATAACAAGAGGCTACCTTCTACTGTTCAGTCTGTACTCTTTCCAGTCCAGCGCACATGCTTTGCTTTCTCTCTCTCCCTCTCTCACCGTCCATCTCTGAAGACCCTGCCTCATTCACGGACTTTTACAGATGCCACTGGGTTCCACTCATAACTCTCCCAGGTTTTCCTACCGCTTCTTTCTTAACACTGAAAGTCCTCGAGGGAGGAAAAGATGGAGCAACTGCAGAATGGCTTCTCACTGGTAGCACTAGGTGACCCCCATCTGGAAGCAGCCACTATATATATTGTAATACCTGTATGGCGGATGGTCGCGCTCCGATACTGACAGTTGGTCAAGACACACACAGTCCACAGTTTGACAGCAGAGGTGTTGCCATGAATCAGCCCTGGCTCTTTCCATGTGCAGGGCCCTTAAAAGACTCACAAACACCTGTGGGTTTTCATACTTTCTTCTGAGGCATTAAAGAGCCTGTTTTGCTAAACTAGGAGGCTTGTCCTGCAGTGACCAGTCAAGGGACACACAAATAAATTGCTTGGCTAGTGGTTTAAATGACCCGGTCTCTCATTCCATGCTAATGTCCTTCCAGTCTACTTTGCTATTAGAAGTAAATGGGAAAGGTAACCAAGGACCTAGCATTTGGAGCAGGGGGTGTCTGTGCCAGTTCTTTTGCAAGTGTCCTTGGTTCCTGCATTGTGAGAGCAGACATTGGCTTCTGCAACAGAATTTCCCCTTCCCCTCCGCCCCCACAGCCTTTCTCTTCCTCTCCCTCAAAATCTTCTCCAGGAGGTTGGAAGTATGGAATAGGAATCACCCCTTTTTGTTTCACTCACAGAACTCTGCCCACCTTCAGAAGGTACCAGTTGAATTTCACCTGTGAATGGTAAAGTATAGTCCGGTTAGGGATGCAGCGGTGCAGTGGGTTGAGCTGCTGGGCTGGTTGATCGAAAGGTCAACAGTTGGAATCCACAGACAGGGTGAGTTCCCGTTGCTCCGTCCCAGCTCCTGCCAACCTTGCAGTTCAAAAGCATGCAGATGCAAGTAGATAAAAAGGTACCACTTTGGTGGGCAGGCAACAGCGTTCCGTGCACTTCGGTGTTTAGTCATGCTGGCCACATGACCATGGAGACTGTCTGCAGATAAACGCTGGCTCCCTCAGCCAGGAAACGGAGATGAACACTGCCCCCTAGAGTCAGGCATGACTGGATTTTAATGTCATGGGGAAACTTTTACTTTTTTTATAGTCCGATTATTTGTCTTTGTTATGCAGCTTGTCTCAGTGCAAATATATTGACTGGGTGGGGACTGATCCTGATCAGAGCTATGGTGAGGCAAACATATACAAGATTGTGGTTTTCCTGTTGAAGAACTCGCATCCTACTGCTTTATATAGGAAGGGGCCCCCTACATGAATGGCCTTCTGACTTCATCTGGTTTGTCCCTTAGCTGGATGCACTGCTTATGTTTTAAAATAAATAGTATGGGACTTTTTATGGCTTGAGCCTGAAAGGTCTTCCTCTATTGTGTGCTGGCCATTGCTTCAATTCTACACCACTTATCTGGGAGTAAACCATGTTGAACTTGGTGGAATTTCCTTCGTAAGAACTTGGATTGGAATGTGCTGTGAATGTGATTATTGACTGGTAAGGGGAAAGTTTGTTGCAAAAACTGGTGAGAGCAGAGTCCTCTTTGCTCAAGTGCTATCTTATATTTTAAATACAGCCATGTGTTCTTCAGACCTTAGCCTTGACACAGAAAGTAGACTCTGGGGCTAAGTCCTAGCTGAAGCGTATTGTGCAAGGAAATGCCATGTAACAATAGTTGCATCAGCTGCGTCTCCTTGCTTGGTTTACATCTAGCACCAAGGAGATAATTAACTGAAAAAAATGGCACTACAAGCCACTTTCAGCACTCTAGCTCTTTTCAAGTCCACCATGGGGAGTGCTCTTCATGAACATTAATCTGGGGTGAGTCTATGTGAATGTGTTGATGGGTTGAGAGTCCTGCCCTTGGACAAAAGTCTGAACAGGCTGCCTTATCCTTTTCTAGCCGATGCTTGCTAGGTTTGTGTCAAAAGAGATAAGTCTGGAGGAAGAAAACATGCTTGCTTCAAGATTCAACTTGTACAAGAAATTCTTCGTATGGGTGCAGGCATTTCAAATATTTTTCAGCGACAGGCAGCAGTGGACTGAGTTTTCACTATCACTGATAATTATTGTAAATAACTGCAAACAGGCAGGATTGGAGGGGCAGCATAGTGTAGAAATATTTAAGGTGCAATCCTATGCATGGTTAAGCAAAAAAAGGTCCTACAGTTCCCAGCAGTGCTGACTGCGGTATGCTGGGAGCAGTAGGACTTTTCTCAGCCTAAACATGCATGGCATGGCATCCTTAGTTGCTGCGCCATACCTACATCTGAACCGTGCAAGTGAATACCTGCTATTTTAAATGGAGATGCTAGAAATGTTGATTCTACCTGCATTAGAGAGTTGCACTGCGTTTCTAAGCACTTTCTAGTATGTATAACAACCTCCTGTTTACAGTATTTCATATAGATTTGAAGTTAATGCGATCAAGGCAACCAGATTTCTAAATGTGCAAGAATGCCGTGCTGCAGATAAGCTGCCCATGTGTCCTCTTTATGGATACCAGGCCTCTTTTTGGAGGCATCCTCCGAAGGGCTGTGCAGGCCAATTTATAGTTAAAGAACCAGGAAACAGGGCACCGACAGAGGCCTTGAAGATGCACATCAACAGGTGCCACCTGTTACCTGTTATGAACAGGTAGCACAGGTAGCTATCAGATGGAACAGGAAAACAGCTCATCCAGTCAGTCTGCCCCACTATGATGAGACTTACAATATTTCTATTCAACCTTTAATAATACATACTAAATTCACGCCCATATATAGTTCACATTTGCAAATTCACATTTGTTTATATTTTGATGAATTATAAATGGCCACTCTATTCTGCAAGCGATTTCTAGGGCCTTGTCCATGGCACTCCAGGGCCTTGTTCCTGCGGGGGCCTTTGTATGTCTTGATGTGTAGGAAACGCGCTTGTGTGTGACAGACACTGAGGGAACTTCAGTCATGCTGGTCCCATCTCCTGACATTCAGGCATTGTATGTGTGTGCTCTGTGACAGGGCCAGGCCCGGATGTGATAGATTCTGCCCCACAATTCAACAGTTTGTGTACGTGGGAAGGGAGGCCAGGGAGCAGGAGTCGCCATGGTCTGTAGGAATTCTCCCTTCCCCACCTCTCTCTCTGGGCTCCCTCTCCGTGTGATTCCTAGTCTAGAGGGTTTGCATCTTGTGTTGCACCAGCGGGACAGAGTGTGGATTCTGTTGGCTCACGCTGCGACCCGACAGTGTCTCTCCCTGAGCTGACAGAGGTTGCCTCAGCTGCAGGTCCCCCAGGCGGCCGGTGCTGGGCAATGTCAACATCCATGCTGAGGGTACACCTTCTGGAACAGCTCAGGATTTCATGGACTCCATGACAACCCTGGGGCTGCCCCAGCTTGTTCTTGGCCCAGTGCAAGCAGCAGAGCACCCTCCAGATTTGGTTTTCTCAGCTGGGCAGGGGGAATAGTGCTCCTTGAACCCATCCCCTTGTCATGATCAGATCACTGCCTGTTGAGATTTGGACCAACAATGACTTTCTACTTCTGCAGGGGAGGGGGACTCATTAAGATGGTCTGCCCCTCGAGGGTGATGGATCTAGATGGTTTCCAGAGGACTGCCGGAGTTGGGGGGTGAGGGGAGGATTTTCTGGCTGAATTGGCTGGTAGTCAATTGTCAAATCCCTTGTCAAATTCCTGGTTGATCTCTGGAATAGCAATGACCTGGGTGGGTGGCATGATTGCTCTTGAGCAGCCTCTCTATAGCAGAGATTGAGGATGATGGAACAAGTCAGGAGATGGCTTAAGAGCAGATGGAGGAAAACTAGTTAATACAATTGAGCTCTGGTATATGTTTATAGTCAGATATATTTTGGAGGCAGTGAGAGTGGCAGAGAAACAATACCTGACTGCTTCCATTTCAGTCCTCCATTTGCTAGCCAGTGGGGCTCTGCAGGATCAGCCGGGGCCCATTATGAGCCGGCCTATTGGGTCGCAGTGTGGATGGTACACCAATAGACTCCCCAAGCTATCTTGCTGGCCAGCACAAGATGCAAACACTCTAGGCTAGGAGTCTCTTTATTCCTTTAGATGCCAGTTAAAAACATCTTGTTTGTTTTGGTGGGTGAGCTTTTCGGTTTAATGGTTTTATATTGTTAATTGCTGCTGCCATTGCGATTTTACCACCAGCCTTTGTACTTTATTTAATTATGTTTAGATTGACCTCATTAGTATTAGATTATTTTAAACAGTTTAATTTATTGATCATTCAGTTTTATGTCTATTCTCATTGTTGATTTTATCTCTGTTGTTGGTTTTATTGTATATTTAACTGTATTGTGAATTGTATTGTTTTAATAGTTGCATAACATGTTGTGAGCCACCCAGAGAGCCTTATGGCTAACAGGGCAACATACAAGTCAAATAAATAAATGAATACATAAAATTACATGTTAGCCACAAGGACATTTTGGAGTCATCTGAGGCCTGCTGTAATATGTTCACTGGGGACCTCCAGGACAAAATCCATTGTATTTGCCAAGACTTGGACTCCAATTTATAGCAGTGGAATCAGTTGAGATATTCAGAGCACAGTCTGGATATCTCAGACTGATAGGATGAGTTCCAGTTAGTACTGTTTGTGGATGTTGACAAGGGGCTTGGGCAGGTTTGTGCAAGCATGTTCATACTGGATCCTTGCCCCTTCTGGCTAATAAAAGCCAGTAGGGAGGGAACTGCCAACTGGACCAGGGAGGTGTTTAATGCTTCTCTATGAGAAGGCATGGTCCCTGGCCACCTGAAACAAGTGGTGGTGAGACCACTCCTGAAGAAACCCTCCCTGGCCCCAGAAGAACCCAGCAATTTTAGGCTGGTGGCAAACATCCCATTCCTGGGCATGGTTCTTGAATGGGTGGTAGTAAACCAGCTCCAGGCACTCTTGGATAAGGCTGATTATCTGAATCCATCTCAGAGTTTAGGCCTGATTTTGGTACAGAAGCAGCTTTGGTTGCCCTGTATGATGACCTCTGCTGGGAGAGAGCCAGGGGGAGTGTGATCCTGTTGGTTCTCCTCAGCCTCTCAGCAGCTGTTGATACCACTGGCCCTGGTATCCTTCTGGGGTGACAGCCTGAGTTGAGTGTGAGAGGCTCCGCATTGCAGTGGTTCCAATCCTACTTGGATGGCAGACTGCAGGTGGCGATGCCTGGGGATATTGCTCTGCCCCTTGGATCCTCCAGCATGGGGTTCCTCAGGGGTCAGTCTAGTCCCCCATGCTGTTGAACATCGACAGGAACCCGCTGGGTGAGGTCACCCAGAGTTTTGCAATGCGTTGCCATCAGTATGCGAATGACATGCAGCTTTATCTCTCATTTCATCTTCAGCAGGTGAGCCTGTGGATGAGCTCACCATGAACTGGTGCCTGGCTGCCACAATGGACTGGACAAATTGTTCAGACGAGACTGAGATTCTATTGGTGGGTGATTCTTCTGACTGGATGGAGGGACTCCAACCTGTCCTGGGAGAGCCACATCCCTCTTGAAGGAGCAGGTTGGTAGCTTGGGGTGCTCCTTGAGCCATCGTTGCCACTGGAGGCCCAGGAGGATTCAATTTCTCTTGCTTGATATTGGTGTCTAAATTAGGAGTCACACAACATAGGACAAGTCATGAGTTAAACAGTTCCCCTCACCTTATTTTTCACCTTTCTTTTTCATCCATTTATTTATTAAATTTCCACCCTCCAATTTTCTGTACAGATTTTCAGAGGACATTGACATACCAGGGTACCAAAATAAAAATCCAAGGAATACTGTGCCTACGCACCCATAATTTTCTTTGTACAGGAGAGATGTCCCCCTGTTCCTTCTATTATCAGATTTTGGTGGTGAATTATCAGAATTGCTGGGGGGGTTTTTAAACTAAGTTACAAACTGCTAGATAATTACTGTCATTTGTGGAATGCTCTGAACAAAATAATTAATTATGCTACAGTCCTATAAATAATTCCATAAATCAAGCAACAAAGCATGAAACATATGGTTTACATTTCTTAAAATATTCCTGAATCTTGGTCATGTCACTGAACATCCGATTTCATCTGGAAATACCAGTTTACATAAAAATATGTGCATAGGTAGTGATACAGTTGTATAAAGAAAATATGAAATTATGCATAATTATTTTCCAGAAAAAATGGCAAATGAACAAGAATTTTCCCTCCTGAGTGAGTGGAGTTGGAAAGAGAGAATAATAATGTTAAGGGATTAAAACCTAAAGCAAAAAGGCAGAGGGGTGGGGAAGGAGAAAGAGGTGGAGACAGAAGGAAAGAAGCCCAGAGTCCTAGAGGATAGTAATTCATGCTGCTGGATCCATAGATCTGACTGAGACCTGGACCGATGACAGTAAGATGCTGCTTGGCAGGAACCAGGTCACCAGCTAATGAGTCTACCTGAATGCGTTTTTCCTGGTTGTTTTCCTGCTCTGCTAGTCACATTTTTATGGTGGTTGGTTATCCACTACTCCAAGTATGGCAAAGCATGGCTCTGAGCAAATGTGCACAACAGTTGTGTGCAGAAGCCTCGAAGCTACAGGGTGTGCTTGTGTGCTTACTGGTTGGCAGCTGTAGTCATTCATTACAGAAACAGTACTAGAGAAATGAACATTTCTGTCCTGAATGTCAGTCTGTTCCCGTGGTTCTCACTTAGGTAAAACTTCCACTGGCTTCAGGGTTGGTTTTCTCAGAGCACTTTAAGTACTGGACCAAAAATATCGCACATTAGCAGGCAGCATGAGTTGCTTTAAGTATCTGCCTTAAGGTTTCTCTGATTTCATGGTATTTCATATGCAATTGGCCATGGCTACTGGAGGGAATAATTATAACCCAAAAATAGTCGAACCTGCAGCACTTCGTGGAGCATAACTGGCATTTCAAAACTGAAGACTTGGAATTACTAATTCAGGACTTGCTATCCAAATGCGAATTGACATCCAGTCTTAAACTTTCAGTGTCATTTTTTTCAGAGATAAACATTAAACATGAGAAAAGACAGACTTGCTACCTAAAAAAGGATAGTTGTGGTAGGGAGGAATTCGCTGGTTTCTGTTTGCCACCCAGTGAGTGGCTAGGTTGGTTTGGAGCCAGGTACGTCAGAGCATGGGTCATATACCCTGATCCTCTTTGGGTTGTATCCAGTGTTGATCCTATTTGGAGTGAATCCACTGAAATGCCTGTGACTTCACTTAGACTTACCTTGGTGTTTCCCAGTCTACCCCAGCTACTATTTTCCCCACTGAGAAAAACACGTGAGTCCTTAAAATTTTACCCCCAAGGAACAAGTGACAGCCTCAAGTGGAGGAAGGATGGGAAAACGACCTGGAGGGAAGGGCGAGGGCTGAGTCCCAAGGCACAGCCCCTTGAGCCAATTGCCCCTCTCCTGAACACAAACTCCTCCCTGTTGGTATGAAAGGTTGCCTGCATATTGACAGCTCTGCTCACAGGTCTCTTGCTTCTTGCCTAGTCTGGTGCATTCAAATGCACGCCAAAGCTGGCAGTGTGAATATTGCTCTTCGTTTCTCCTGTGCCTAAATGTATGATCCAGCTGAAAGACAACCTATACGTAATTTAAATGAATAAATAAAGGGTTTGTAATGCATTATTTGCAGGTAAGGGAGGTGTGATAATAAAGGGAGGAGTGGTGAAAGGAACCACGAAGCAGACATCGTCTCCATTGTATTAAATATTAAATAAATACCAAATGCAGTATTGTATATTGTATTGAATGTGCACCAGAGGGCATGCATTCTGGAGGAATGCAGAAGGGGACATCACGGGGCCCGCCCCAATGTCTTCCTCCTGGTTCGCTCACCTCGGACCTTCCCACATTTGATAAGAAGGAAGGAGGGAGAGGAGGGTGGTCAGCGCCTGTGGCCAAATGCGGAAGCCCACCCAGGACTAGGAGGTCATAGCACACAGTTCCCACTCTGAGAAAGACGTCTAAGCTCGTGCATCTGAACATGTAGCATGTGTTTCTGCCGAGCATAGGAAGACCACAGGAGGAGCCAGTAGGGAAGGGGGCATTGGCCTGTTCCCCCTTTAAAGAGGAGCTTATTTACTGCATTTTACTTTCCTTGCATGTCAGTTCAGAAGTAATGGGACATCCTCCCCAGTAAGTTGCTTAGGACTACAGCAACTTAACTTCCTTAAAAGGCATAGTGTGACCTGTACTGAAGGTCTATAGATGATTTTGCTTCTTCCATGTAAGGAGCAGCATTTGTTCCCCTTTTATATTTTAATTTCCCTTTCTCCCGTTACATTTTCCCTTTTTTACGATATATATGTTTTGCACCTTTGTTTGCTGCTTTTATGACAAGTTGGGGAAGAACCAGCATACGAGCAGCATGGTGGTCAGAGAGGTGGACTGGCTAGATCCGAGTTCTAGTTCCCGCTCAGCCTTGGTGCTCCCTGGGTGGCTTTGGGCCAGTCCCTCTCTCCTAGCCTAACCCACCTCACAGCGTTGCTGCAGTGAGGATAAAAATGGAGCAGAGCAAAACTATGTAATCTGCCTTGGGGTCCTCACAAGAGTTAAAAAAAAAGTGTGTATGTGTGTAGTTGGCAGAGCCTTAATTGATGGGAACAATAACAAAATTGGGATTTTTATGCTGATTGCAAAAACTACCGTCAACCAGAAGCTTCCAGAATCTGTGGAAAGACAATTGTACATAAAGCCTGGGTTGGAACTCCTCCGAATGTTGATATGTCGAAACTAATAGTAAACCTAAATGGGAGTGTCTAAATGTTACACGTGATTTTTCAGTGTAGCTCGTTTATTACTTTCTTGCTCCTGAATACAATGCACTGCCCACACGTCAGTGGTTACTAGGAAATATTACTGTGATTGTAGTGCGAATACCTCCCAATTTACAATGGGAAAGGAAGGGGCCACATCTGTTTGTCTCCCCTGTTGAGCCAGCTTCATGGGCCAAGTTTTACCTTGCAGTCAGGGTAGGAAAAAAGCACTCTAACTCCTTACTATATTATAGCTAAATAAAATTGCAGCCACACAAGGCAAGTACACATTGTTTCAGGTCCAAGAACTGACACGTACAGATATACGAACTCTATGATGGATGTAGGAGAATGATATAAAGTGGCATTCTTAGCGCCTGGTATGAATTTGACCACCTGTATTGGAGGGATGGGTTTCATTCAACACACCCTTTCCTTGCTCCACCCCATTAATATTTTGTCCCATTAAGCAAATATTTTAGCTACAGGCCTGTAGTTTTTGCTAACAAATACATCCAGTGTGACAGCTTTCTTCTGTTTTACCATGCAGCAATTACGAATGTCATCATTAGAATATTAATTTGACAAACAAAACAGCTAGCTTTGCCCTAAGCAGATGCTGGGAATCTGCTCTCCTGGGACACGTAAAGTTGATGTACCCTGCAACTCAGTGATTGAAATGAAAGAGCTGCCTACCCTTGAGTTACACTCCGGTAAGTACCTAATTAGGCAGAAATGTTATTTGCCAACATCTCTCCTGGGATCTTGTTTGCAACCATGCTGTGAGGAGAGAATCCAACGGATTGAAGTCTGCTTTGTTTAAAGGTCCCTTTGTACCCTGCTGTGGTCGGTGTCACCCTGTTGTGTGAACAGAAAGGAAAACGGGCAAGAGAGTATGCCCTACTCTTTTTGGCTGTTCCTTTCCTGTGGACTTTTCTACTTCCCCCAGGTGGGAATCTTTTTTCCTCTGGCTGCTCTCACCAAAGCAGCCTTAATACGCCTTAAAACTCAAGCATTAATTGGGAGCAGGGGAGGAGTGTATTACACATAGGCAGGGTAACCCAACCAGAAAAGAGACTACCAAGTTTAAACAAAGTTGAAAAGTCTACTGAAAAGACAGTTAAGAGGAAAAAAGTGTTAACATCTAAACAGATGCTCCCATGCAGCATATAAAAACCAGTAAGAGCAATAGGGTAATAAAAGAACCAGCGATGTACCCATCCAGCTCACCTAACTAAACTAGTTTATCCAATTTCCTCACCAGCAATGCCTTTTCATCATAGTTCCATCGTTATGTCCTAGTTCTCCAGTGGACCTAACTCTGTTTCCTTTCTCTAGGACTCTGCTTATCTCTGTAATGGTCTCTGATCATTCTGCTCCTTTTCTCACTTTTGAATTCTTGCCCTTCTGCCTTAGGCTGTCTTAAAGTACCCTGCAGTACCATCTCTAAGCAGTTAGGAGTGTAGTTTCTTTGAACCCAAATAAAACCTTTTGTCAGCTTTCCACCCCTCTGAGCTTCTACTGAACTTCCTGCCTACCCACTTCATTTTCTCTTTTTTTGCCAGGCTCTCTGACTCCATAAGGCTTCACAAACTTGTTCACTTTCTGAGGCAACATTCTGATTTAATGTTTTTTTTTGCACATATACAAAATAGATGTACTATAACCGTATAATTTCCAAAAGGCAACTTATATAACAACATGGAAGACAAATCTGTTCCTTCACTAGGTAGGGCATGATGGGAAGGATGCACTTTCATGTTGTAAATCTTTGTAGTATTACTCTAAGAGTCAGTTTCCAGACCCAAACTATATGTTATGGCAGCCTTCCCACCCTGCCACCCTCTAGATAGGTTGCCTACAACTGCCATCATCCCCAACGAGCTTGACCAGTAAGTCACAGGAAATGTGAACATGACGATGTTACAGCACATGTGATTTTAACAGCTCCTAAACAGAGAGAGCTAGGATAAGATGCAAGATGGTGAAACCGTGTTGTTTTCAATCCAGCGGATGCCTTTTTTTCTCTTCAGGGAATGCATGGTCTACCCAAGAGGCATTTGCATTCATTTCCTGATGGGATATGCCCCTTCAAGGAAGAAGGAGCATGTTTCTCACCAGGGTTCTTCCTTCCTGAAGCAAACATGAAGGACATCTCCAAGGTAAGGTGTGGTGCTCACAGTCTAAGGAACCCCAAGGGAGGTCTTCGAGGGCGAGGAGCATATGGGTGTAGGCAGGATTCCATCTGAGGACATCTATTTGGCCATCTAGGATTAAAACTGACCTTTAGTGGTTTAGGGAGGTCTAATATTTGAGCCATGCTCAATCCAAGATGGATTGTACCATAGTCTCTGCCACAGGAGACACACAGAGAGAATTACTAGCTCCTTTCCCTTCAGTTGCCAAATTTCAGAGTTTTGGAAACTGTACCTTTCCTTCCTTACTTTCATATGATTACCAAAATTCCTACCAAAATTCAAGATGCAGGAGGCCTGTCTTCCTTTGGATCTGATTACTTGTTAAGGGCATAAATATATGATACTATTAAAAGTGGCCCTCTTGATGCAGGTTTGGCTTAAAGGTGCATCTAAGAAGGTTGAGGTCTACTGACATACAGTGAGGTAGGTGATCACAGTAAAAATTGAGGCACCAGGCCATAACTGCTTGGGATAAGTTCTAGGACTATTTCATTGGTGCTTCATCATAAAACATGACCAAACAAAGGTCCTGTAGGTAGCAGCAGTATTATAGATAGTTATACCAGCAGAAATGTTTGGATATGTAAGGAGAGCCATTATAGGTTCCTCCCTTCATCTCTCTTATTGTGAAAGAACTGAACATTTGTTTCAATACAATGCACAATAGACCCAAGCAGGCAATATGGAAAATTTAAAGTTCACTCTGGAATTTGCACTCCTACATGAATACTGTATCAAGTGTTTGGGACTCTATCTCAACTTCTGTAGCAGTCTAGGCAATCTGCTGCCCCCCAGATGTTTTTGACTCCAACCCCTATAATAATGCTGGCTGAGGCGAATGAGCTGTGTAGTGCAAAACATCTGGAGGCCCCTGCATTGCTGATCCCTAAAGAAATGGTCTGTATAAATTTCATTTCTCTCACACTGGGAACTTTTCCTGGGAAAGATCTACTAACCAACATGTCAACTGGGCATCCAAACTGAGTAGCGCCAACCCTGCCGGGCCTCTCCTGTTGTCATAGCTGCATATCAGAAGGCCATCTGAGGCTTCAGGAGGGCGTCTGAGGCGTTACACTCAGGCATCAGCAACAGCTGCTTCATTTATGGACAATCAATATCAAATCTCAGTGACGTGACCTTTTTGTAAAGGCAGAGGGCTTTAGACTTCCATCTAAGAGTCAATATCATTCCATGTTGGATTACACAATGCAAACAACAGAAGGTGTCTGATAACACACTTGCAGCATGATCCCAAATATGTTGATTTGGCTGTAACTTTCATTGAGAGCAGTGGGACTTACTTCCAGGTAAGTTTAGGATCTCAGCCTAAACTAGCTGGTAAGTAACTGGCTTCTCCATTTGCCTGCCAGATTCCCTTCGGTCTGTCAATACATTACCACCTTCTCCATCTACAGTCTGTGCTGGTGCACGTAATTTGCACTTTTAGGCTCTGATAGATATGGCTGTGCTTTTTGTCAGACACTTATGTGAGTCGATACCACAGGCATTGTTCACAGTAAATGCTCTGGTAGGAAAAGGCTTGTATAAACAAGCACAGCTCTTTCAAGCCTCTTCACATTGTTCTGTAACACAAACCTCCTGAATTTCAGAAGAGATGCCTCCAAAGCGAATGCTTCCTTAAGGAAAGAGAGAAGTTACCCGAATGTGACACAGCTATTGCTGGACTAGACCATTTCAGATGGTGGGTGAAGGGCGCTTTCCAGCTGCATCTGCTCATAGAGGAAAAAAAGGCATAGAAAATAAGCATGTCAAAGGAAAAGAGAAATATATAACTGCTGCCAGCAGAAATCTGAAGTGGTACAGTCCAGCATGAGTTGCATCATGTGATTCTGTGGATAACGTAACTAAGTTCTTACTTAAAAGTAAGTGAAAGTGATGGCACTTTAAAATAAATGCTTTCAGAATAATAGGTGCCAGACACTAAAAATCTTCCCATTCGTTAACAAGGGTGTAATTATTATCCAGAGGTGGCATCTGTTAGGCTGTGAAAATAAGTACTGTGACTACAGTACTAAAAACTAAATAGTCTGTTGAGAAATAAAACACTATAATCAATGACCCTGAAACATTTTTCCGTGTTCATTTTGGAAGAAAGCTGTTTCAAATAGTATGCTATTTATTAGGACATGGCATAGGTGTGGGAAGGAAATCAACAGCAGTTTTACCCTGGAGCTTCTTCCACTGGAAGGATTTAGTGTGGGAACATCACATTTGTTTCACTCATATTTTAGAGGAGTGCACACAATATACATTTGTTATTTTCTAGTGTGCTTCCTGCTCACCTCCCTGCTTTTTTTTCTTATTAAAGAAAAGGAAGCTTTTTTGAGAGATGAATGGTAGCGCAGCTTTACAGCTGGAGATTCTCTTAAGGTGCAATTCTATGCCGGTTTAGGCAGAAAAAAGACCTAGAATTCCCAGTGGAATGCAGGGCATTTGTAGGACATTTTTCAATCTAAACAGGTATACGATTGCACCTTTAATGGACTTCCCTCTCTCTCTCTCTTCCATGGCTTTTTTAAAGAGCTGTGGTTTTGATGTGTGCAGTGACTTAGAACCCTGGTGAAATTACCACAGCTCAGCAAACTTTTGCAATGCACACCATTTTTAATTCTGTAAATATGTAGAAATTTATTTTAGTTAACAGTAAAACATTCTCCACTCTGAATGTGTGTTTCAGTATTAAAGTACTAACAAAATGCTGCTTGGAAGAGTGTCACACATTGTAATGCTAATTTCCAAATAAAAGAGGAAGGACACATTTATGGTCTTGGCCACTTGGCGTTCTCCTAATGAAACTCTTCTAGCCTATATTTCAAATCCAGAACAAATATTAAACACTTTCTCTTTTGGTGTTTCATGCACAGTATTGAGCAATCACACTTAAATGAATAAAGGTTTAGTGGTAAAATGACATCATCTGCTTATAACCCTTCTGCGTTTTTCCACTACTCTCCCTCCCTCCCTCCCTCCCTCCCAAAACAAAACCTATTAAGGAAGATAAATGTAATAACTGCACAATATCTGACTCTGTTTGGAAGCACCCAAACTCTCCTTTCTAGATCAGTGATGAAACCTGGTGGTGAGCTGTTGGAGCACTTTTTGCAGGCAGCCTGAATTGTAATGATATGAAATAGCCATTTGGTCTAATCATCTTCAAGACAGAGGGATGCCAGTGGTAGCAACAAGAAAGCATAGTGCATCTGTTCTGCAGTGAGGGAAAGGGCGGAAGAAGCAGTGGGAAAATATAGGAAAGCTGCCGACAGAGGAGGGTCCCTGAAGGTCCCTGTGAGGATCCCTGAAGAAGACTGGGCAAGTAATGTCTTAAAAGTCTCATCTGGAAGCACCTGCAGTCTGCTTCTGTTGTGTTTCCAAGTTGGAAACAAGTTGGAATTAAGAGCAACCTTGCAGCACAAGGAAGCTCGGTAAACCCATTCCTTTACTAAATCATGCAGTTGGTTGGGAAAACGTATAGTCTGACATGTAAACCATCTCATAAGCTTTCTCACAAGCTTAAAACAGGAATCGCTGCAGTCTGTGAGGAGGACTAAGGGTGGCAGATCCCAAATATATAAAACAAAGTTGCTTGGCTTCTGGGAATCAACCACTGAAGCCCATATTTACCCAGCACAGCTCAGAAGACAATATGCAGTACTGTCCATCTACCCTTGGAGAATCTGCCAATATACAGAAATGCAAAATGCCAACCCACAGCGCCTCAGCTACTGAGAATGCTATGTTAAGTGTTGCTTTAATACTTGCGTGTTTTATCAGCTGGGCATTAATCACATTCCATGAATATCTGATTATGGCCGCCACCCATGTGATGCTAGACACACGCCAATGTGTTGACATCAAGGTATTTAAAAATGTCCTTCCTTGCTGCTGGCATATGCCTGGTAATGTGAATGGCACTGGATGCTGGACTGGGGAGCTCCAGGTTCAATTCCCCTATCAAGCAAAATGTTCAAGCGGGTGACCCTGCACCAGCCTAGTACAATAAAGTCGCTGCTTGTCCATGTGTGTTGAACACTGTCCTAAATTCCTCAGAAGTCTGGTAAGTTGCAAATAGGCTAGAAAGACTGTCCTGATGCAATAGGTCATTTTTAAAGTGTCCCCAGTTACAACTAGATATGATTAGCGGGAAAGGTAATTTCATACTGAACAGGAAATATCAATTTTCGGTTGCAGGATGACTCCTGGATCTCCTCCAACTGTAAGCCGAAACTCTTAGGAAAGAACAGAATTGTTGGCAAAGAAGAGACAAATATTTCAAGCTCATCTAGTCTGACATCATGTACAAGCAGTATTTCCACTTCTATTTGTGGAAGCTGCTGCAGTTTAATTTCAGTGGGCATTGTAGCTGCCATGCTGTCTCCAAGCCTAATTTGTAAAGCGGAAAATAAAGAAGAGGGGATACTTGGTTTTAAGGTTTGTGTTTTGTCTTTGCTTTTGCTTTCTATTGAAGGCAACAAGGCAAACTCTGCACATTTTTGCTCACCACTCTTTCATTTTTTGCTTTAATGAAAGAGCACAATCTTCAAGATCTCTGTAAGCTAGACTACTGAAGCCAAGCACGGCCATTGGTTTGAATATTTTAGCCTGAGGCTCTTACAGCGTGCACTAGAACTGTGTAGTTCAGTGAGGCTTGTGGTGGCAAAGCATGCTGAGATCATCTGCCACCGAAACACTGTTATTTTTGGATGGAAATTCTCTGGAGAGAAATATATTAAAATAATTAAATTATATTTAGCAGGAGCTCCTCTAAGTGTAGGCGTGCCAAATTAAAATTTGTTGACTCAGGGAGAGACATACTGTTGCATTATAATAAACATTCTGTCCACTTCTGTGGCCATGTGATAATATATGAAATAGAGTGGTCAGGTGTTCTATTTTACTGAGTACAGGCCTTTCTTTGGGGGTATCCTTTATATGAAGTCAGG